AAAGAGTGCATGTGCATGCGCATGTGCGTTGCGAACGTTTTACAGTAAAGACTGATTATTTTACAGAACCATTAGAAAGTAATAGAATAGGTACTTATAAAGTAAGTCAACCGAAAAGTATGTATCTCTGTTCTTCTAATATACATAAGAAATGTTTACTTTTACCTAATTATTGCGAAAACAATGCTTTTATTTGCATACTTTTGTTTAATATGGACTTTTGTTGAGTAAACATTACACATCCAAAAGTTGAATAACAGACTGTAACATTAAAAGATTTTAAATAAAGTATTTTATTTCAATTTTGTTGTTCAAATAAGGTATAAGTCTCATATGTAAAAGAATTAATCTCCAAAAAACATTCTGAAAGCTGTTTTATTGAAGTGTAGTAGAGTCAACTGTCTGCCTGCTATTGATTTATTATACCTGGTCAAGAGTTGACCCTACAAACAGAAATCTTCAGTTGGCCCTTTATATTAAAAGTAACGTGAAACCTACATTAGGTATGATTGTTGACTCAGTTGAAGAAAATGGCGACAATCCTAACCGTTAGCCAACTGATATCACATCAATATGGCCCATCAAAATTGCTAATAATAATTGCGACTAGGGTAAGTACGAATGGACGTTTAGGTAATCGTAGTTTTACGAATGTTCGAAAGTTAAGTGATGAGTGTCAATCCCGATTAAAATTATACGAAGAAACGAACGAATGTGTTCAATGTTTGTAGGTTCTTGGAACCATGTGGACAGGTTAAGTCAAATCGAATGCGCATGAACGGCTTCCATAACCGTCACTTTCTTTATGGTTAGCCGGCGATCGATTAAGTGAACAGCAAGTATAGCTTTGCTAAGAATTGGCGAGTCGTTGTTGACGGGTGTTTCGTTCGAGCCCGAGGAGCTTGATAGCGAGAGAAAAGAGCGTTTCTTGGACGTAGTGGCGTTGCTAGCAGACCGGTTGTTATCCAGCCGTAAGTATAGTGAACCACGCGCAGGGGAAGTGCACACATCGGTAACAACTGTATAATTTGAGGGTAATTCCGCGAGCTGTATAACCTGTAGGTAATGCCGGCAGGCAGGCAACCAGTCAGAGAGTGCATCAGTGCGCTGCTCGTTTCATTTAATTGGTCGTTCCCGGGTTTACGAGGTTTCAACCGAGGCGCTACGACGACGAGAGATGCTACGCATGGCAAAGGATGCCTAACTGCCAACCACCGGCGAAAATTTACGTTCGGAATTTCGCGCACTGCCAGCATCGCTTTCATCGGACATTTTTTACGCCCAAGAATTCTTCTTTGTTCGAATGTTCGATCGTTCTCGTGAATTTGGTTCGTTCTATCGAGGATCTTGGTTTATTCAAATTTTATCTGCTAACTACAACTATTGTAGGTTCTACTCGAGTGCAATGTGACTCAAAATTAACGCAACACCTCTTCGACATCGATTGTTCGCAAAACTCTTTCACAAGTTCGTTGAAAATCAGCTCAGCGAATTCATTGGTAAAGTTTGGAAAACTCAATGTTTTCTTCTTCACGCTGATTTTATATTCATGATAATTTCACTATTCTATTAACGGTAACCGGAATTTAATCCTTGTTACAGTTTTAATAGGAATAACGTTGAAACAAGATTGTTTCAAGTCTTTTTGATCTCCTGTCGTTAACGAATTGCTGGTAACCGTTAAAATGAATGATGAGAAAATCAGAGCTAAGATGAAGATAACGGATCGGGATAGACTATTAGAATTTCGAGAAGCATTCAGAATTTATTAAACGGTCTGTTGCGTTGGTGTGTTTGTGGTTAGGCCGTGACACGACGATCATCCTCCCTCGATGCACTTCGCTGAGCCAATACTGGAGATTTGCTACGTAGGTGGAGGAGTGTGTAACGCGCGTATATAGGCAATGCGAGCAGAGAGTTTAATATCGCTAGCCGAGATAGAAGCAATAAATGCTTGTCAAGTAAATCAGGATGAAGCGCCATTGAGGCGCACGTAATGGCCACATTAAGTAAATAACTCACGGTTGCAGTGTCAGACTCCGGGGCAAAACGTGAGCTGTGCGTTGAACTGTTAGGAACTATTAGGGGTGATAACAGTGCCATCCAACAACTTTACAGCATTAAGTGCTGCCGAGACGAGCAGTTGATGCATTACCAACTTAATTTCTGCCAAATGATGTCGTGCACTGTGTCTCATATAGAAACGTCTTAACTTCAACGTCTACAATCCCGTCAATAGGGAGAATAATAAAGTAAAATTTGCAAATACCTAATACTCATTCATAGATATCATTCGAACACAACGGCGATTTGACTACGGAATTCATTTTAATAGCCCTTGAAAATACTGTTCTCTGATTTTAAAAATGAAAAAGATATTACCGATTCCATTAAAGATTTATAACTTTCGAGGATGACAGCTACGAGAGAAATTAAATATCTACCTGTAAATTTTTATTCGTGTAAATATCTGTGCTGCCTTTTCCTTACAATTGAATGCATCGATTGATGGGACTAATATCGAATGATTCGTAATTTTTATTTGAATACAAAAAAAAAATGTTAGTAACAATTGAATCACTGTTACGGAACAATTTGGAGTGTGAAAAAAGAGAGAGGGCTACTCGGTCGGTAACGTAGAGTACTTGTCGATAAGAGTTGGTGATCCATGTCATTGTGCAGGTAATCGAGAACATTCTGTTGATAAGGTCACTTTTTAAAAAACTCCTGAAATTAGTATATACAGGTAGCCCTCCTACAACACGGCATCTTATAACACGGTTTCGCTATAACACAATTTATAAATTCCGGGAACCCTTCTATAACATGGTTTCGCTCTAACACGATAAGAAAATTGCAAAAGCCTTTGTACAACACTGTACTTCTACAGCCGCGACGAGGTTTGCCGTCTTAACCGTTTGAGTTTCAGAGATTTTTGAAAAAGCATGGTCGAAAGAAAACCCGAACAGCGCGGGTTTCGTTCACTTAATCAAGTGAAAGAAGCCCAAGCGGCGCGATAACGCTCGTCTTATTTGGTGTCGAAAAAAGAAGCAGCTACGTGATGTACGTGCGTCAGTCAACTTGAGCGCGCTACTTCGACAGTCAGTGCAGTCACTGACTGCGACAGTTGTTCATACCATCTGAAATGTACTGGGATTTTTCGACAAAATATTTCAACAGCACAATCGTGATGCTTGGGACTCAAACTGTTAAATATACAGTGTTGCAGAAAGTATGGTAAGAACCAGGAAGCAACGTGAAATTACAGATTTTTTTAAGGGGGAAGAAGATGCAAGAACTTTAAATGAAGAAAAATGTTTTGAAAGTGAAGACGGTATCATTCCACGAAAAAACGTTCTCGGTTGATTATCCTGAACAGTGACGATGAAGAAATTTAATAAATTAAAGTTGCGTTAAATTAAAATAATATTTTTGTTTCTTTTTTTTTTGTCTCGTACATACTTTTATATTTTTAATAAAAATTAAGTTGTTTCTGTAGAATTAAAAAAAAAATTGTTTTTAATAAGTTTTAGAAAAATAACCCCTCTTTTTGTATTAGCTCTGAGTCTCATACAACATGGTTTCACACAACACGACATATTTTAGGAACCTACCTACCGTGTTATCGGAGGGTTACCTGTACACTCCAAATCAATGTATCGTAGAAATCGAAAGTGTTGATCGCAAAATTCAAAACAAATTCGAAGATTTTAAGTAAATTGAAAACGTTATTTTCAAATGTTTATCAAAGCATGTTTAACGTGACAGAAATTTGAATTGATCTATCGACAACGTTAGACAAATCAAATCGGTTTGATAATGGAAAAAATTAAAACTCATCATTTGGAAGTACGCCAAAGACAAACATGCAGTTGTGACAACACTTCATAAAATCAGATATCGAAAGTTCTTTAACTGATAAATGCTCTTGATCGATATTTAAGACGTCAATGCTCATTAATATTTCTTTATTTTTTCATATTTTAAAATATACAGTTCACATTTTAATACTTATTGTTAGTTCATTTGTCCTCTATTATAAAATGTTCATGTTCCTAATTTTAATATTTATTTTATTGCTATGCATCTGTTAATGTTTCTGTACTTACTTTGTCGCTATTTCTAATGTTGTATGTACACACTGTGATTCGTGTACAGTATACACTATGCATGAATAAATCGTGAACTCGACGTTAGAAAGTACCTCGCGTATATAAAATTGTTAAGAAATTGCACTAAAAAGGTATACTCTCCGAAGTAGTGATGTCAGTAATTTTTCTATTATATATTTATCAGTATATACAGGGTGTCCCAAAAATGTTGTAACTCATTGAAAGAAGTGGTTCGGGAGGTGATTTGAAACAACTTTTTCCTTAGCGAAAATGTTGTCCGAGGCTTCGTTGAGGAGATATTAACAGAAAACACTGACCAATCAGAGCGCGAGTATCCCGGTGGAGAGCCCACGGTAGCGAAGGCTAAGCGCTAGGCGGCCGCGCTCATACGCTACCGCGGCCGCTCCAACGGTATACGCCTGCTCTGATTGGTCGAGGTTTTGTTTGTTAATATCTCCTCAACGAAGCCTCGGACAACATTTTCGCTAAGGAAAAAATTGTTTCAAATCACCTCCCGAACCACTCCTTTCAATGAGTTACAACATTTTTTGGACAACCTTTATATGCATATATACGCGATAAATGTAAAATCTTCTTTATAAAATGCAGTAGGTGTACTGCAATGGTGGCATGATAAATAGAAATAGTTGACATCGGTGTCCAAACAATATCATTTTCATGAAACACCATTATTCAAGTTATTCTTTCCCCTTCGTATACCGCTCACTCTTAGAATTAGTGACACGGAAAACATGATAGTTCGACGGCCGAGGTACAGAGAGACAACGATATACCAAGAAAATAAGTGTAGGAGCGCAGGAACCGAGGAATATATTTATAGCCGCCTCGGGTTATTAAGATAATTTATCGGGGCCATTACCGAACAAACGAGAGCATTAATCTATTCTAGCTTCATAAAGAGAACTTCGTCGACGATTTTGTAGCCTGCTCGCCAAACGAGCACTTCGGAGTAAATTGATGGATCCTCTTGACCTGGCTGAGGACCCTCCGTAAATTGCTCGTAAATTTTTATTTATTCCGCCGCAAATAAAATTCCGGGTCAAAGGGAGGGTGCGAAAGAAGATGATATGGGCTTCGATAAAAGCGAAAGAGAGAGAAAACGATTTGTCTAGGTTGGTAGCTTCGATTTCCCTGCACTCGCATCACCGTTATTCGTCGATTCTTAATAGCGACGACGATTTTCTACATTCGTAATTTTTCATCGACATCGAGCTGAAGTCTTGAAAAATTACTGACATCACTATTTCGGAGGGTAGTACGAAACGTGATTATTTGTTTTTTTTTCCTTTATCGTTGTGCATTTTTACTAGTTTTTACTGTTTACTATACCACGTGTACATTATAAGCGATGATATGAACAAAATTGAAAAAGATCAATAATGGCTAGTTTTTTATGATTTTTGGTAAAAGTAACTAATTAACTGGCGTGCTTCGAATGGAATGCATTATATTTAATCTATTGTGACAGAAATCCAAACTGAACGTTTATATTGACAATTGATATGGAAGTGTTGAGTTTGTATAAAATAAACACACATTGGTAACTTATAATTACTATTTAATGTAAGAACTCGAATATAACATAATTAATGTGAAACACGCGGACACACGGACTCGACGTACCGAGGACAATATCTAGAGACGCGGTAGCTTCTCGACGCCAAGTACATGAACAATTATAAAGCCACCCCGTATATAACGTGGCGCTACCGCGTACCTTTTACTCGTAAAACTACGATTCCAACCTAACCTAAAAGTTCTTTCATTAATATCTCATCACGCCTGCAATATTTTCGAAATTTAAAGGCATTTGTCTGATGTAAATCGCTTGTAACCTTTCGAATAAAACCAAAATCAATCAAATCGGCCCATGTACAACTGAGATATCGTAATATCATTTATTCGATTTTTTGTCAACACTTAGCCAACAGGAGCCAAGGCTGATCGTCGATTCGTCGACTCTCGGAATCACTCGGCAAGGCTCGTCGGCCGCCATAAGAAGTACTTGTGTGTATCGTTTGACAGATATAGGTTAGTATCGTTTGACAGATTCGTTTGACAGCTATAGGTTACAGTGGGGAACAGCTGGATGCAGGTTATTAAGACAGAAGAAAAAAATTTCATCAGATACTGCAAGAAATAATGCACAAGAGACAGTAATGTTGCCTTGTAATACGTGTGTGCACGCATTAAACAACCATCATAGTTGTTTTACCAGTGCGACATATTTTTTACCTATTACAACAAGAAGAGGAGCATATAACATCATCAATAAAAGGGTAAGTAAAATTCACAATTAAAAGTAGATAGTGTTCACCATAAGTAGTTTTGTGCGTTTAAAGTATATGTACTATCAATGTAAATTCTTGTGCATTATCTGTTTCCACAGTTTTTGATTGATCTAAGCAGCTACAGTCATTCCAATAAGAGGAATCGAAAGGATGAATTGCTTGTTTCATGAAGCAAATAATTTGCTGACAAAGCATCAATATTTTGGTGCTCACCAAAAATAGGAGCTGCCACTGTGAAATTCTAATACTTTATCTGAGGAAAGGATATCTGGTAGTAATTATTAAAATACCACAAGAAAAATCATGCAAGTATTACAGGAAATACAATAAAGTTTGACAGGTATATTGAAATTGGTCAATTAAAATATACTACGACCTGGCAGAGTGTACAATGGAAGGAATTAAGTGATCTGTATATAATGTTTGTGTGAAAATTATGATTTCTATTTTTATTTTAAGCTCTATGTTAATTTACAACTAAAATATGGTTTGTATGTGTTACAGATAGTTGAAGCATAAGATGATGCGGTGTGCATAACAAATTTGCTGATATTTATATTATTAATTCATGAATTGAATGCATAAATGTTTATAATTAATAAATTAATATCATATGAAATGTATATATTCACTTTCTTTACCCCCTCTCCTTTTCTTTTCCTCTATTCAATTAAAAAAATAAGGAGCCTGTGTATATAAATCACAAAACTAAAAAATTCATTTTTTCATATTATTTCATATGGATTATTTTAGATTATACACATATTAAAAATATTATAGATATATTAACAAATAGTGGATATATTTTTTCTATTTCTCACTTCATCATTAACATTTCAGTTTCTTGCAACCATAAACTGTTTCGGGCACCATCGGGAACTCTATACAAAGTACTATACACATACATATAATATAAAAATTATTTAAAGTCATTCATTGTGCAAATTATCTTTGTAAAAAGAAGTAAGGTCCCCATAAAAAACTTCAAAAAAGTAAAAAAATTACGCCAAATACATGAAAAAAGGAAGGACTGAGGGAGTTATCATAGAAAAATAGGAGATCTCCATAAAAAACTACAAGAAAGTAGAATCTTTTCTCCTATTTTTCATGTACTTGGCGTAATTTTTTTACTTTTTTGAAGTGAAAACTTCAAGTGAAAACGAAATATAGTAAATCGTACGTCGCAAATACCTCGTATCGTGTAAAATCTCTTTTATTCGGTAGTATAGTATAGTAGTATAGTATTTTAATTAATTTTTAATTAAAAATATACGTATAGAATACAAAAAAAATGGACTTAGGCCACCTTCAAAATAAACGACTCGTTTTGCTAATAGCATGATCTTGTCATGTCTAACAAAGGCTGATATTAAGATATCCGGACATTAAAATAACAGAAGTAATATTATGAATAAATGAGCAACAAATTACTTCCTAACAATATCATACTGCAATGCATACAAATATAATTAATATTATTATTAATTTTAAATGATCCTGCAATTTGTAATAAATATGTATCTCATAATAATAGCCGCCCATATGTCTATACAATATAATGCATACAATAATATATAAAAATTTACAAAACTGTAGGAGGCAGATGTATCATATTATATATCAATGGATTCAGAAAGAAATTTCCATTCATTTTTGCCGTTATATAAATTTTTGTATCTCTTAAAATAATGTAACTGTTACATCCGACCCTGCCGGTGTCCCTTTTCATCGAACTCGCATTGCGAATAGTTAAGATCAGTAGACTTTTAAGAATGCGCACGAACCACAATTCGGAAATTGTGTTATTAAACCGAGTCGCGTGAACCGCAAATCAGCGAACAAGCGTCAGCGATATTAAGCTCTTGCGCACGAATCGCCCATTGAATTTAGGACTTGCTCCAGATTCGGGAAATGTGGCAATTAAGGTTCCGAAATTACGAATTGCGCCAGGCAAGGATCTGGGGCTATATAAACCCGTGGTCACGACCACGGAGAGCTCTTTGTGTATTATTATTTTAGCAGTCAATACTCTGTAGTCGCGGACGGATTAATTTCTCGCGTTAGTCTCATTTAGGTATCATGTATCGTATCTCCAGCTGAGTAAAGAGTTCGCGTAAGTGAGAACATATGCACTAAAGATAGAGTCACCGCGGAGATACCTGCGAAAGTCCGACGTTTATTATTCACCAATTATTAGAGTCCCGTGTCGCGAGTGTACAACCAGACCAGATCCTCGCCACAGCCGATCCCGGGACAACTTGACAACGCCGCCGATAGCATAAGATCAACGATTGGTATTGTTAAAACCATCTTCAATTGTATAATTTATATTCTTGTTTGTATGTAATCCCAAACTCAGTTTTGTTTCATAATTATATTTGTTAATACTTAAACTTAGTGACAATCATTATAGAATCCCAGAATTCCTTCTTTTCAATTAAATACAGATAAGGTGAGCTTTAGCTCTTTAACCGAAGACAAGAATCCCTAAAGAAAGTCCAAAACTAATTGGGACGTAACATAACAATAAATTTTTTGTTATAAACAAAGTACTTTTTATAAATTCTATAAACTCTTTTTGTCTTACCTCATGAAACCATGAAACTTTTCCTTAAGAAGATTTCTTATATCTATTATTATTTCCGAGATAACATTTTTCTGTTGAAATTCAAGGGGTGATTTCACTCCCTAAATTTGCGATTTGGGCAGCTATAAAAAAAATACATATACCTTATTTTCATGTGCTTAATGTATCCACCAAGTTTCATCAAAATCGGAGACGGACAGTTCGGTGTGTTCCCTTGTCAGAGGTTAAGAACGGAAGGCAAATCGAGAGTGTTGCGGAGCGACTTGCAATGTAAACAAGGTCATCCCTAACTACAATACAAGGGTTTTCAAATGAAGCTCTAGCAATCTTGAGAAAGTACGAAGTATCGAAGGACGAAGTTGTACTTCTGCGTAACCTTTCATTGGATGTTCCGTGGTTTGGGTCGGATATCTGATTGAAGAAATCGCGGAATGCGTGAAAGGTCTTTATTTGTGGCGTAACTGGAAAAGGAACAAACAAGAAAGAAAAAGAAAAGAAACAAATTTAAGCATATTTACGTTGTACAGTACACTTGTTTCCGAGTTTGTGAGTTGAGATGCTCTCTGTATCTGCAACGTGCAAAGAACGATTGATAGATAAAAACAAAAACAGGAGGAGAGAATCGTCAAAAAATGGATAATTAGATAGATGGATAACCGTAGAGATAAACAGATAGATAGATAGATAGATAAGTAAAAATGGAGGTAGAGAACGCAACGTGTTAGGAGGGAGATACAGAGAGAAAGAGGGCTCCATCTATTTTCGCCTTCCTGTTCTAAGCAGAAGCAGGATGATTTATGCGGAGCGAGTGCCGCGTCTCCACGCTGCAGGAGAATTCTCGCTTTCAGTTCTGCACCCAGCCGTGTCGCCAAGGTGGTAGAGTGTGGCATTGCCTTCACTCTCCCAGTCTTCTCAACATCGCTGCGAGCACTGCGATGCATCTTTCTTGGACTACCGACCATCGTTCCTTTTCTTCTACTATTCGCTTCTTTTTCACCGTCCCAACTCCCTCAACGCTCTCTCTTTCTCTCTATTTCTTACTCATTGTCACTTTTTGCGCGCGTATGTATGAATATTTATACATAAAAGAGGCTCATCGTAGCAACGACAAATTATATCTGAGATAACGTATTCAACGTTTCTTTATTAAATATATACATATAATACAGTAAAATCCCGATAATTTGGTGTCTAATAATCTGACATACAACACTCGGCTGTAATCATGCTTATCAAATGACATTCGGCAATCATTGCAAGTTATATTTTACCCAAGCTTTAACTAAAATATATTTCGATGGAAAAGAGTACTCGAGTGAAATAAAATTCGAATAAAAGAATACATAGAATCGAAAAATGTAACGAGTGGCTTACGTAGGTAATTTAAACATTTACGATTCGTATTTACCTTTGCGAATGATCGCACTTGAGTCGCACTTCTTACACTGGCAGAATAGTAGATATAATATTAATATTATTCGAAACACACAGAATTAAACAAGTTTTCTGTTGAAAAGAAGTGTAAAAATAAGAAAGTTAATACAAGTATTATTGCAACACGTTATACACAGACGTGGACTGGAGAGGAAGAAGAGTAGAAGAGAAGACGTTCGTAAATTAACGATTGTGGAGGCTACCTTGGGTCAAAGCAAGCCGCTAAACCATGGAATCGTCATTATCGCTTTCACGAGTGGTGACGCTGATAGATGCCACCTCTAAATGATGATGGATGGGTCGTATAACTGTCGCAACACATGGCTACCCAATGAACTTTGTAACTTGATTTAGTTCCTGCTCCTTCATCATTTTGCAATTCCATGCATGTAAAAGTATGCCAATTGCCGTTATCGGAAAATTGTCTTGAATTCTCTCCGAAGAGAAAAAGAAATGTTAGGAAATACTGTATTTGGAACAAGGAACAAAATTTCAAAATGTTTTAATTAACCAACTCGGTTAGTACCCGATCGTAAAAAAGTGTAATTGTGTACCAGTTAGTAATTTAACCTTTCACTGCATGCTATTAAAAAACTTACCATGCATGTACTTGTACATAAGTACATAAATTCCTACCAAAGTATCAGAGGAACGATTATGTACTTTGAGTCCATAATGCTCTGTTACGAACACAAAATATACTAATAGGATATACGCCATCGTGTGAATGTCTACTTCTTGATATTTGCGTAGTACGGGGGAGGATTTCACCTCTTCTGCTCGTAAACAAATCAATGGTGTACAAAACAATTGAAGATTACTGTAGTAAAATAACCGTAGATCCGTAAGTTTTAGCCAAGGTAACAAAACAAGTATCTGGCAAACGAGATATAATATGATAAATAAAGTAAAGAAACAAAAGGTATTATATATAAAAATATAAAAGAAGAGGAAAATAATACATATAATAATATACATATATCGTCTACGTATATGTGTATACGTATATATGTATATACGAATATCAATATATATATATATATATATATATATATATATATATACTAAATTTTATTAGAGAAACATAGTATACAATAAGAAAGATTAAGTACAAAACAAAGCAGACTAAGAAACGTGTAAGCAAGATATCGTTGATATCATAGTACATAATTATAAGCTTCTACTTTTCACGTCAAATCTGAGATTTACATATTTCCTGATTATCATTTTAGCGACAAATAATTGCTTGAAATGATTTATACCGACACAGATTATTTAAAGTGTTACGTCCTAGCTTCGACTCACGAGAATCGAAGTTCACACATACAAATTAATTTTTCGCTTTTGCTCCACGCCCCTCCCAATGGACACGCGTCTGAGCGGGATTGACTAACTGCGTCGAGTTCTTTATGTTACCTTTTGTTTTAATTTCGAATGTACCCGCAAAATATTTACTGAGGTCGATTGGTGCTCCTAAACAGGTAATGGGCGTATCGTGGGTCGCTTATTGAGATATCGGTGAAAGACGGCAACACCACAGTGTAGTTTATCGATGTCAGCTTCCATGTGATGCCTGGTATCTTATTCTTGAGTCCTTCTGGTCTTGTTGTTGAAGCGAATATCCCGAACGGGTAGCGTCCTGCTATCGCGGGTTCACTAAACTCGCGGATCAACTTACGAAGTTGATTCTTACGTTCCGCACGACGGGTTCTTTTGGGGATTTATATAAATGGAAATAGAGCGGTGATTCTCTCCTATTTCCGTTTATGGATGTTTTCTCCCTTGGAGGGGTCAGGCGGTTGCCTTCTCTAACCATCTCGTCCAGAGTACAAGGAAAAAGGGAATTTGGAGTAATGAGGCAAGAGATCGAATTCTAAACTGTTATACAAAATAACTTTTTATTATAGTCCTTGCACGACTATTATGATTGATAGTTAACAATCCAATGATTTACAATTTTTACAATTTGACGATTGACGATTTACGATTTCCGAGAATCTCCACGAGACTATCTAAGTCGAGAATGAATATCAATATAACAATGAGGCTCTCTATTTTTGCGGCAGTATTTATACCCTAGGAAAAGCCTAAATTTTGAGAGTGCATTGTCTCTATGCGGATGCAATGCCCCTCTTTTCCTATTACGCGAAAAATTCATAACTCGCTCTTAGCTGGGTCAAATTCTTATTTTATTTTAGAGATATCGCAATTTCAAGTAAGGATGTACTCCTGCACTTTGCTTGGTAGCTGCAATCCTTATCCTTGTGGCGACGCGCCACTCTGGCGCAAGTGCTGAGATAGGACTATCGACTCAGCGTTGTCTTAATCTCTTATTGTTAGACTTGGCATTTGTTTTAGCACACATAGGAAGTATCTCGTAGATATTCCCATCTAGTGTCACTCTTATGCCATCTCTGCCATCTCCTTACTTAATTTAAATGCTAGCGTATTCGCGAGAGTGAGCGAGAGGCGGATGTAACAAAAGTATTGTTGCGCCGGGGGGTTGAAGTACGAGAATTCATTTTAATTAAATATAAAGTTTATTAACAAACTATAACTTTTAAACAATTTAACGATAATATAACAATAATCTTGGAGACTTGTAATGAAACGTCTTCTCTCTTTGAGTTCTCGAATCGCTCTCTACTATTTTAAAAGTTTCGTCGCAACATCTTCACACCGTCGCGACGATGTAACTCGAAACTGTAGTGCGGCATCTTCATACCGTCGCAACAGTATAATACACTTTTGATTGATTGGACATAAATCTGTAACGACACATAAAACTCGGAGTAGTAGAAATAAAAATAAACGACACACCGAACATATTCGAACTCGTATGTCTTAAAATCGTTCCGAAATGTCTCTTTTCCATTTCGTCTCTTTTTCATTTACGCAAATAATCGTTAAATTAATTCGTTTATTACGTAATGCTGCTCGTAGTAATCGGTGCATATTAACATTAAATTATTGTCCTGCCGGAAATATTACAAACTTGTGTGGAATTAGTGCATCTCAACGAAGCAGAGAATATATTTCAAATGTAAACAAAATAAACATGAATTACACCGTGTCGATATTGATTGAAATTATCGAAAGGAATTATTTTATCCCGCAAAACGAAAACAGAGATGTAAAAACAAGGAGCGAAACTAAAGCTCCGTATCATTATTTTCAAATCGACTTACTTGTTTTCGATAATAAGTAACGAGGTTATAATGTATACAAAATTATACGAATAACGGGTTATTTAGCGTTCGCAGCATTAAATGT